TGGCAAAAACAAGAAATGGAACTTTAGAACACAGAGACAATTGCATGAAAAAGGCCCACCCTCCACCACCCTTTCTGGTTCACGGACCTAGAGCCCAGTGTCCCTGAAATATCGCCCATGCTGGCAGTCTTTGCTGTCACCCTTCATGCTCACTCCCCAGCCCTCTGGAAACGGGTTGCTCTGCCCACACTTCCTGTGGACCCTCGGTCCTTCTTATCTCTGTTCCTCTGTGTTGCATTTGGCGCTTTGACCACTTCCTCCCTGAAAGAGCCACTTCGCCAGCTATCTCTGACACTCTCTGCTGCTGGTTTTCTGACAGTTAGGGCACCCTTGGGTTTTCAAACACCCCCCCCCCCCCACACACACACACACACACACACACACCAGAGCTGTCCTGGCATGGACCCGCCCGCCTATGGATTCAAGCCTGGGTTGAGCTCATGCAACACCATGGCTTCCTTCCATGTCTCTAAGACAGACGCCCATGTCTGTTTCTTTACACCCTAGCTGCTTTTTACTTTTTTCAGTACTTTATCGGCTTCTTCCAATCCATGTGGACTCATCACCTTCCTGCCACACACATTACTCCTCTAACATGGAATAATCCCAATCCTGTTCATGGTGGCTCCGTTCTCTTCTCTGCATCCACGCCTGTGCTTTGATCATGGCTGGAAAAACATGGGCCATGAGTCAACAAGTAGTAACACAGCCCACCATTTGTGTGTTTGTGGGTAGGAATATATACTTTTATAATTTCTCCCAAAAAGTTTTTTGTTATTCTTTTTAGAGATTGGGTCTTGCCCTGTCACCCAGGCTGGATTATATAGTGACACAATCATGGTTCACTGCAGCCTCAACTTCCTGGGCTCAGGCAATCCTCTCGCCTCAGCCTCCCGAGTAACTGTGAATACAGGTGTGTGCCACCACACCAGGCTAATTTCTCCTAACAAGTGTTTTATGTCTACACATCTCTTAAAATTCTGATCATGTCAATGTATTATATGTAAACATTTTTAGAGGGTTTTTAAATAACTTTTAGGCATTTCATATCATTTATTTAGTTGCATTATTCTTACAACGCAGTTTTTTGGTTGTTCGTTTGTTTGGAGTCTCACTCTGTCACTCAGGCTAGAGTACAGTGGCACACTCACTCATGGCCACTGCAGCCTCGACTTGCTAGGCTCAAGTGATCCTTCCACCTCAGCCTTCCAAGTAGTTGGAGCTACAGGCATGCACCACCACACCCAGCTAATTTTTTTTTATTGTAGAGATGAGTTCTCACCAAGTTGCCCAGGCTGGTCTCAAACCCGTGGGCTCAGGCAGTCCTCTCACCTCAGCCTCCCAAAGTGTTGGGATTATAAGCGTGAGCCACCGCACCCAGCCTACAATGTAGTTTTCATACATGGTATCGTGTATAATTAACATTCCGATGTGTGTGTAGTCCTTTTCACACTTTTGACTTCTGTGTCCCTCTGTTTCCATTTAAGAAGTCTCACAAGGCCAGGCTCAGTGGCTCAACCTATAATCCCGTGCTTTGGGATCCCGAGGGTTCAAGACCCACCTGGGCAACTTGGTGAGACCTCATCTCTATAATAAATAAATAAATAAATTAGCCGGGTGCAGTAGCACATGCCTGTAGTTCCAGATACTTGGAAGACTGAGGCGGAAGGATTGCCGGAGTCCAGCAGGTCGAGGCCGCAGTGGCCAGAAGCGTATCACTGCACTCCAATCTGGGCAACAGAGTGAGATTCTAACTCAGAAAAAAAGTCGGGCTCAGTGGCTCAGCCTATAATCCCGTGCCTTTGGGAGGCTGAGGTGAGTGTATTGCCTGAGCCCGCGGGTTCGAGACCCGCCTGGGCAACTTGGCGAGACCTCATCTCCACAATAAATCAAAAATTAGCTGGGCGTGGTAGTGCACACCTGTAGTTTCAGCTATTTGGAAGGCTGAGGCGGAAGGATCGCCGGTGCCCAGCAGGCGAGGCTGTGGTGGCCAGGAGCGCCACCAGTCTGGGCAACAGAGTGAGACTCCAACTCAAAAAAAAAAAAAAAAGTCTCACAAATCCCAACATAATTCCCTCATTTTCCCTGCTGACTTCTTTCTTTAGATTAGTTATTCATCACATATGTACAGATAGATGAGATACATAAATGATAGATAAGATAGATGAGATAGGCTGGATAGATGATAAATAATAGGTAGGGTGGATAGATAAAAAACAGATCATAGATGAAATAGACAGGATGGATAGATGATAAATAAGACACATAGATGAGATAGATAGATGATAGGTAGGTCGATAGAAAGACTAGGTAGATGGACAGCTGGACAGGTGGAGGCCCTTGGAGAGGGTCCTGGGAGGATTCAGGAGCTTCATGCCCCTTCTTAAGTGCCTCATCCTGTACGGCTCTTCATTTGTACTACTTGTAATTTTTTTTTTTTTTTTAGTTGGAGCCTCACTCTGTCACCCAGGCTGGAGTGCAGTGACACGCTCACAGCCAGCACAGCCTCGACCTGCTGGGCTCCAGTGATCCTTCTGCCTCAGTCTTCCAAGTTGCTAGAACTATAGGCGCATGCTACCACGCCCAGCTAATTTTTTTTTTTTTTTTATTGTAAAGACGAGGTTTCGCCAAGTTGCCCAGGCTGGTCTCGAAACCGTGGGCTCCGGTAATCCACTCGTCTTGGCCTCCCAAAGTAATGGGATGACAGGCTGAGCCACCAAGCCTGGCCTTGTAATATCTTTTATAGTTAACCACCAAGTTGCCCAGTTCTGTGAGTTGTTCCAGCAAGTAAATTGAACTCAAAGACGGGACGTGGGAAACCCAACATTTCTGGTCTGTCAGAAGTTCCAGAGGCCCAGACTTGCAACCAGTGAAAGGAGGGGGGTCAGTCTTGTTGGACTGAGCCCTCAGTCTGTGGGATCTAATACTGCCTTATTGCCACATCAGTGTCAGAACTGAATTGGCTTGCTGGTGTGGGGGTTAAAACTTACTCATATTTGATCACAGAAGTATTCTTCATTGATTGTTATTGTATGAGAGCAAAGGAAAAACAGTTTAAGTTTTTCCGAAGGGTACCATAAAAACACAAATTTTTACTTGTCAATTTATAAAAAATAGTTTTTAAGAATCAATTAAGGGCCGAATGTGGTGGCTCACACCTGTAATCCCAACAGTTTGGGAGGCCCAGGCGAGAGGATGACTTGAGCCAGGAGTTCAAGACCAGCCTGGGTAACATAGCAAGACCTTGCCTCTACAAAGAAAAAAGAAAAAAAAAAAAATCAAAAAAATTAGTCAGGTATGATGATGCAAACCTGTAGTACCAACTACTTGGGAGGCTGAGGCAAGAGAATCATCTGAGCCCAGGAGGTCAAGGCTGTGGTGAGCCGTGATCATGCCACTAAACCCCAGTCTGGGTGACAAAGTGAGATCTCAACTCAAAAAAATAAAAAGCCGGCCAGCACAGTAGCTCAAACCTGCAATCCCAGCACTTTGGGAGGCCAAGGAGAGGACTGCCTGAGCTCAGGGGTTTGAGACCAGACTAGACAACTTGGTGAGATCTCATCTGTACAATAAATCAAAAAATTAACCAGGCATGGTGGCACACACCTGTAGTCCCGGCTACTTGGAAGGCTGAGGTGGAAGGATCGCCAGAGCTCAGCAGGTCAACACTGGGGTGGCTGTGAGTGTGCCACTGCATTCCAGCCTGGGTAAGAGTGAGAGTCCATCTCAAAAATAAAAATAAAAATTTTGGCTGGGCTTGGTGGCTCAGCCTGTAATCCCAGCACTTTGGGAGGCCGAGGCAAGTGGATTGCCTGAGCCCACAGATTTGAGACCAGCCCAGGCAATTTGGTGAGACCTCGTCTCCACAATAAATCAAAAATTAGCCAGGCATGGTAGCACACACCTGTAGTTCCAGCTCCTTAGAAGGCTGAGGCAGAAGGATCGCCAGAGTCCAGCAGGTCGACACTGGGGTGGCCGTGAATATACCACTGCACTACAGCCTAGGCGATGGAGTGAGACTCCAAATCAAAAAAAAATTAAAATTAAAATTAAAAGTTGTATTAGAGCACAGACACACCCCTTCATTAGTTATTATGTGTCATGCTTTCAAGCTACAAAGACAGAGCTGAGTAATGGTGACCAAAGACTATATGCTTAAAATATTAATTACTTGGCCCTTTATGGAAAAGTTCTGCCAACTCCTGGGCTAGAATATTATAAAAACTTGGCAACCAAACACACTGATCACGTAGACTTATCAGGCACTTGTTAAAAGGACAAGAAATACCTGAGTGTGGGAAGAAAAAAAACAGAAGACATCAACATACTCATCTCTGAACTTCTTACTGGCAGTTTGCAAGACTAAGTATGCCAAATATAAAATCTTTTCCATGCTCGCTCTTGGGCTGTTTAATAAATACAGCTTCAGGCTGAGCGCAGTGACTCATGCCTATAATCCCAGCACTTTAGGAGGCTGAGGTTGAGAGGATTGCCTGAGCCCACAAGTTCAAGACCAACTGGGGCAACTTGGCAAGACCTCATTTCTGCAATAAATCAAAAAATTAACCAGGCATGGTGGCATGTGCCTGTGGTTCCAGGTACTTGGAAAACTAAGGCGGAAGGATCGCCTGAGCCCAGCAGGTCGAGGTTCCGGTGGCCGTGAGCATGCCACTTCACTCCAGCCTGGGCAACAGAGTGAGACTCCCAACTCAAAAGATATAAAAAATAAAATAAACAAATACAGTTTCAATGCGAGTGCTTCAACATTTTATTATCCTTGTGAGAGAACACATTGTGATAGAAAATAGCTACGTGATTTGTGCAGAATTTATGATAAATCAGAGAGTGTTACATCCTCGCCCAGTGAGAAACATTTGACCCTCTGATATTCACTAAAGACATTTCTCATAGAGACATCCAGTTCTTCCCTTTCAAAAACTTAATTCGTAGAGAATCTCAGTTTGCTCAGGAAGGAAATTACAACACGTGGGTCCAGGTACCTTAGCGGCATTACATTGAATTGTCAGTTTGGGGCTGTTTTCTTTTATTTTCTTCAACATCTTCTGAATCTCCAGATTACATACATCTGTCTTCAACCTGGAGGATCAGGAAACATAAATGTTTTTGGGGCACCTAACTGTACAATCCCAAGAAATTCATTCTAAGCTACCCAGCATGCCTGAAAGTCTGTTTCAAGACACTTATAGCAGGAAGTTTTTTTTTTTTTAAAGAACTTGAAAAATCTAGAGACAAAGAATTAAAAATTTGTAAGGTATTGCTCACTGCTTGGCATTCTGATATTGCTGGTGAGAAGATTAAAGACAATGTCACTCTTGTTCATGTGATAATAAAAATTCAGAATTCTTAAAAAAAATAATTGGGATGGGCACGGTGACTCACACCTCTAATCCCAGCACTTTGGGAGGCCAAGGTAAGAGGATTGACTGAGCCACATGATTCAAGACCATCCTAGGCAACTTGAGGAGACCTCATCTCTACAATAAAGCAAAAACAAATTAGCTGGGCAAGGTAGCCCATGCCTGTAGTTCCAGCTACTTGGGAGGCTGAGACAGAAGGATCAATTGAGCCCAACAGGTCGAGGCTACGGTGGCCATGAACAGCATGCCACTGCACTCCAGCCTGGGTGACAGAGACTTCAACTAAAAAAAAAAAAATTGGACCCGCAAAATTAGGAATCTGTTCAAGTGTCAAAAAAACAAGGCCAGGTATGGTGCCTCATGCCTATAATTTCAACACTTTGGGAGGCCGAGGTGAAAGGATCACTTGAGCCCAGGAGCTTGAGACCAACTTAGGCAATCTAGTAAGCCCTCATCTCTACAAAGTTAAAAAAAATAAAAATAAATTAGCCAGACATAGTGATATGTGACTATAGTCCCAGCTACTCAGGAGCCTGAGGTGGAAGAATCACCTGAGTTCAGGTGATCAAGGCTGTGGTGAGCTATGATCATGTCACTGTACTCCAGCCTAGACAACAGAGACCCTGTCTCAAAAAAAAAATTCAGTGGAACTACTGCAATGTCAAAATAAACTCCACAGTTATGACAGCAAACTTGATTCAATGTGACCACCTACCTTGTGTATGTGGAAGTTGGGTAGTGGCAGCAGTAATTGAGGAAATGAGATAAGACAGAAATTAATCCAGAACATGACATAAGAAACCACAGAGTTAGAGATTAGTCACCGAAAGTCTTGGAGCCATTACAGGTTTTAGTCCTGCTGGCAAGAGAAGCATGACACTGTCTAGTTTGGATTTCATAAGAGAATCCCAAAACCTTAAGTCAGTTTAAATGGGTATCCTATCTATAACTTATTCTTGAATATGACAAGCGCCTGTGGTCTCAAGAAAATGAACACTACATTCCTTGAGCAATTATGTCTGTGGGCCTATTCAGGAATGTTTGAGCATAATTTTTGGTGGTGGCAGGAAATCAGCAGAATGCCGCACACCACCACCAAATCACTATGCCAATTCTATCTGGAAACAAAATGATAATGGAGGCAGATGGTAATAAAAAGGTTAGGGTCGGGGTTCATTAACTATAGTCTACAGGCCAAATCTGGCCCACTACCTGTTTTTATAAATAAAACTGTATTGACACATAGCCAGTCCTATTCATTTATATACTATGTGAGTGTTTTGTGCTACAGAGGCAAAATGGCTCAGAAAAGCCTATTTTATGTACTACCTGGTCCTTTATTGAAAGTGTACATACCCATCATCTAGAGCATTAAGTTCAGATCTGTGTTGCTGGAAAAGCAAAGAGAGATCTTACAGTGCCTTGGTTCAAAGCAAGAAGAAACCAAAGGTAGACTACTTACAGGTAAGTTATCAAGACACATAGATGGTTCACACAATTAAGGGAATGTCTGTAGGACCAACTTCCGAAAAGCTGAGACCCTGGGAAACTCTAAGGATACACATAACACACACAAGATTTCTGTCTGTCTCTAAGACTGTTAAAGATATCAGTAGCCGGGCTCGGTGGCTCAGCCTGTAATCCCACGCCTTTGGGAGGCTGAGTTGAGTGGACTGCCTGAGCCCGCGGGTTCGAGACCCGCCTGGGCAACTTGGCAAGACCTCATCTCTACAATAAATCAAAAAGTAGCCAGACGTAGTAGCACACGCCTGTAATTCCGGCTACTTGGAAGACTGAGGCAGAAGGATCGCAGGGAGCCCAGCAGGTCGAGTCTGCAGTGGCCAGGAGTGGCCACTGCACTCCAGTCTGGGCAACAGAGTGAGACTCCAACTCAAAAAAATAAAATAAAAAATAAACATATCAGTATGCCTAGTACTGAGTGTTCTGGGGAATGGTGGACAATATTCTATTCAAAGTATTCTTCTTTGTAGAGCAAAAGCAGTAATAAGCAATATATGATCAATTGGGACTGGCTGTGTGTCAATAAAGTTTTACTTATAAAAACAGGCAGTGGGCCAGATATGGCCTGTAGGCTGTAGTTAGTGGATGCCAATAATAGCCTTTTAATACCATCTGCTTCCATTATCATTTTGTTTCCAGATAGAATTAGAGTAGTGATTTGGTGGTGGGTGGGGTGGGGAATTGGGGGGAATTCCCAATCACCACCAAAAATTATGCCTAACCTCAAACATTTATGAACAGGCCCACAGACGTAATTGCTCAAGGAATGTAATATTCATTTTCTTAAGATCATAGGCATTCTTTTTAAGAACATTTTAGTTGTAGATATGATACCCGTTTCAACCAGAAGTATTTTTTTTAATCCCCAAGCTAGGAGGATGCTATTGAAAGATGGCTTAAGCTGATTCCCTTAAGTAATTACCCTCCCAAAAAAACTATTCTCTACATGGGCAATTCAACATGTGAAACGGGAAAACCATACCTGAGTGTCTTCAAGGTTATGTTCGTTTCTTTTAAAGTTTCAAAGAATGCAGTTATTCCAGTCTTCCCCAAATAATTCTGGCCCAGGTCCAGAGTTTCTAGGTTCTTATTATTGACGAGAGCAGAACCAAGATCCCGGCAGTGAGAAGGCATGATAGAGCAGCCCCAGAGCCTGTTTAGGAAGAATACAGAAATTCACTCATTCATCGAGCTCTATTGTTCCTTATTCGCTGGGGACCAGTAGTGAGGAAATATAGGGGGAAGAAGCAAATCCATGTCCTCATAGAGCTTATTTTAGTGACAACAGACATCAGGATATGTTGTATTGAAGACAATGGACGATGGTATTGAAACAAAACAGAGTAGGGGAAGTCCAGCAGAGAGGGATTGGGTAGATTTTTATTTATGGTAGACAGTGAAGTCCTCATTGGGAAAGTAATACAGTGAACTAGTGGGAAAATAAAGAGTTCAATTAATAACAAGGATTCTGGACAGGTGCAGTAGCTGTCTGTAATTCCAGCACTTGGGAGGCTGAAGCAAGAGGATCGATTAAGCCCAGGTGTTTGAGACCAGCCTAGGCAAGACAGCAAGACCTCATCTTTACAAACAAATTAAAAATGAGCCAGGTATGGTGGTGTATGCCCGTTTTACCAGCTATTCAAAAGGCTGAGGTGGAAGGATCACCTGATTGCCTGAACCCACAGGTTCAAGACCAGCCCAGGCAATATGGTAAGACCTTGTCTCTACAATAAATTTAAAAATTATCTGGGCATGGTGGCACATGCCTGCACTTCCAAGCTACTTGGAAGGCTGAGGCAGAAGGATCACCTGAACCTAGCAGGTCGAGGCTACGGTGCCCGTGAGTGTACCATTGCATTCCAGCCTGAGTGATGGAGTGAGACACTGACTCAAAAAGAAAAAAAGAAAAACCAAAAGCACTAGTATTTGTTCCAGTTTTTTGTTCCTGCCTCTGCAGCAAAGCTAAAGAAGTAATTATATTACCCAGATTCTCTTTCCATTGGTGTTCTAGTTGCAAAGTAGGTTGCATTCATGAAATGCATTTGATCGGCCAGGAGTGGTAGCTCATGCCTATAATCCCAGCACTTTGGGAGGCTGAGGTGAGAGGACTGCCTGAGCCCGTGGGATCAAGACCAGCCTGGGCAACTTGGCAAGACCTCATCTCTACAATAAACCAAAAAAATATTAGCTGGGCGTGGTGGCATGTGCCTGTAGTTCCAGTTACTTGGAAGACTTGAGGAGGAAGGATCACCTGAGACCAGCAGTTGAGATTGTGGTGGCCAGGAGTGTGCCACTGCCCTCCAGCCTGGGTGACAGAGTGAGACTCCAATTCAAAAGAAAAAAAAAAGAAATGCATTTGATTGAGACTCAGAATAGAGAAGAAATGCACAGTTTGTCATTCTATTTATAGATGGGGTGGCATCCCATCTACAGTGCCCTGGTTATTCAGCAGGGGCAGACTCACTGCTTCCTGATCACTAGATCCCAGTAGAGGCAGCACATTCCTGAAATCCACTTCACTGGAGGCCACCCCCACCCACATCCCACTTCTCCAGCCCTTCTGAAGAACTTTGGAAACAAGTACCCAATTACCTATATTCAAATTTCCATGGGGGGTTTGTTCTTAAAATTGAATCGGGAATCAGTCTGAGATAATTTGAGATGTAGAAATTAAAGATTTCTAAACACTTTAAATGTGCAAAAGTACTTACACTAGGCATTTCAGGTTGCAATGTGGACTCATTAAAGCCTCACAGATAAACCACAAGCCAGCATCTATGGGATTGAGACCCAGGTCCAAGGTTGCCAGGCTGCAGCCTTCTTCAAGTGCCTTTGAGAGATATATGCAGCCACATCTGCTTATATTGCATTGCCGTAACCTAAAAGATAATCAGATGAAGAGAAAGCTACTTTCCCTCTGTGGTTTTTGCCCTACAGAATAGTTGTTACTTCCAGCACCATGTCCCTCAAGCCACACACTTCTGGCTGGACTTGTACATCAAAACATGCAAATGTAGCTGTGATAACATCAGTTCCACTCTGCCTAGGTGGTAGAGGATTAAACAAGCCTTGCATGCCACCTTTTATTATGGAGAAACAAAACATGCATCTAAGATACAAGTTTTCGTAGCAGGGCCCTATCTTATGGGCCAAGAGCTTGGGCTCTAGGTTCAGACAGATTCTGGACAGAACCTGAGGTCTTGCTTATTTTCTGCACATTTTGATCATGACGCATCTGCTTTCCCCTTTTTTTAGCTTTTTAAATATAATGTTTGTTTTGTTGTTCCATTTTCATATTTATGGGGCACAGTGTTATGTTTCAATGTATGCACACATTGTGTAATGATCAGTGTGACTCTCTGCCACTAGAAACTAAAAACTCTTGACCTAGGAAATGCCTTGTTGTCCCAATCACCTTAAGTCATTGAGAGTTTCTAAGGTCAGGTAAAAGCCATAGCATAAACTAGTAAGCAGCACATTTATAGGAGAGCAACAGCCTCAGAAAAATAATCACTAGATAGAATTTCTGAACTGAAGTAGGTCTCTAACCCCATGCAAAATCGTGAATGTTATATCCTTACTATGATTTTAGTATGAACATGTAGTTTATGCCGGGCTTATTCTCACATAACAAGGGTCAAACTACTGTCCATGGATCAAATCCAGCCCACCACCTGTTAGATTTTACAATAAAGTTTTATTGGAAAACAGCAACTCATTCCTGTCTTGTTACAGCAGAGTTGAATAATTACCATAGAGACCACCATGGCTTACAAAGCCTAAAATATTTTTCATCTTTACAGACAAAATAAAAAAAGATTTTAGGGCCGGGCTCGGTGGCTCAGCCTGTAATCCCAGCACTTTGGGAGGCCGAGGTGAGTGGATTGCCTGAGCCCGCGGGTTTGAGACCCACCTGGGCAACTTGGTGAGACCTCATCTCCACAATAAGTCAAAAATTAGCCAGGCGTGGTAGCACGTGCCTGTAGTTCCAGCTACTCGGAAGGCTGAGGCGGAAGGATCGCCGGAGCCCAGCAGGTCGAGGCTGTGGTGGCTGGGATCAGCCACTGCACTCCAGTCTGGGTGACAGAGTGAGACTTCAACTCAAAAAAAAACAAAAAAAAAAAAAAAAAGATTTTACTGGCTCTCTTATATATAACTCAGTCTCCAATTGCAGAAAGTAGTATGTCATGTGAATTTCAAGAACATACATGAAACATCATATCTAAGAACCAATCACCAGGCTGGGCGCTCAAGCCTATAATCCCAGGACTTTGGGAGGCCGAGGCGAGAGAATTGCCTGAGTCCGGGGGGGTTCGAGACGAGCCTGGGCAACTTGGTGAGAACTCATCTCTACAATAAATAAAAAAATTACTCAGTGGCTCAGCCTATAATCCCAGCACTTTGGGAGGCCAAGGCAAGTGGATTGCCTGAGCCTGAGGGTTCGAGACAAACCCCGGCAACTAGACAAGACCTTGTCTCTATAACAAATGAAAAATTAAAAAAGAATTAGCCAGGCATGGTATTGCACGCCTATAGTTCTGGTTACTTGGAAGGCTGAGATGGAAGCATAGCCAGAGCCCAGCAGTTCGATGCCGGGGTGGCTGTCAGCGTGTCACTGCACACCAGCCAGAGACTCCAATTCAAAAAAAAAAATTAGCCAGGCATGGTGGCACGTGCCTGTAATTCCAGATGTTTGGAAGGCTGAGGCAGAAGCATCACCTGAGCCTAGCAGAGAGTGCCAATGCACTCCAGGCTGAGTGACAGTGAGACTCCAACTCAAAAAAAAAAAAAAAGAGTAAGTACTTTATCTGCCCTGCTTGAATTCACACACACACACACACATACACACACACACACACACACCTCACAAGAACTTACACCAGGGCCTGTAGTTGACAATCAGGGTAACGCAAGCCCTTACACAGAAGTTTTACCCCTTTGTTCCCTAGGTCATTCTTGGATAAGCACAGATGTGTCAGCTTCGGGTTGACAATCAAAACACCAATAAGCTGCTTACAAAAGGCTTCTGTAAGGAGACAGTTTTCCAACCTGCAAAAATATGAAACAAATGGTGAATATTTCCAAAAGTCCAACCTCCTTGGCTGTGTCCAAATGCTAGGGTCCTCAGCTACAGCCCCTCTTGTTAATTTCTCACCCTTTATCACATTCTAGTGATCATAGCCACAAAGAAACAGAAATGAGAAAAGGCCAAGACACACCAGCCATCTACCTAGAACCAAAAATGGAAAGCCAGTATTTAAAAGAAGGGACCAAGCCGGGCTCGGTGGCTCAGCCTGTAATCCCGCGCCTTTGGGAGGCTGAGGTGAGTGGATTGCCTGAGCCCACGGGTTCGAGACCCGCCTGGGCAGCGAGACCTCATCTCTACAATAAATCAAAAAATCAGCCGGGCGTGGTAGCGCATGCCTGTAATTTCCGCTACTCGGAAGGCTGAGGCGGAAGGACCGCTAGAGCCCAGCAAGTCGAGGCTGCGGTGGCCGGGAACGGCCACTGCACTCCAGTCTGGGCGACAGAGTGAGACTCCGACTCAAAAAAAAAAAAAAATGAAAAATAAAAGAAGGGACCAAAACAGAATTAACTTTTGGAAGGTAGGAGTACAGGCTTCCCCCACTAGGTAAGTGTTCTAGGATCCCATCAGTATCAGTGGACCTGCTAACATTGTTGAGAAAGGTTGCATTCGATTTCAGTGAATTTTCTTTTGGAGATTTCTTCAAAGTGTTTGCTCATTTCATGATGGGTGATTTACAAGCACACCTGCCCAATGTGCTGGGTATTCTTCAGTTTCTGTTTTTGAGGTGGAATCTCACTCTGTCACCCAAGCTGGAATGCAGTGGTACTCTCCCGGTCACCACAGCCTCAACCTGCTGGTCTCATTCAGGTGATCCTTCCACCTCAGCCTTCCAAGTAACTGAAACTACAGGCACGCGCCACCACCCCCAGCTAATTTTTTTATAATTTATTGTATAAATGAGGTCTCACATCAAGTTGCCCAGGTTGGTCTCGAACCTGTGGGCTCAGGCCGTGCTTTCATCTTGGCCTCCCAAAGTGCTGGGATTATAGGTGTGAGCCACTGCACCCAACCATGTCCTATAGTTTTTGACAAAAAACAGTATGACCCCCATGTCCCACCTGCCCTACTCACCTGATCTCACCCTAAACACCATTTTTTTGTTTTCCCGCATGAAAAAAAGTCCTCAAAGGGAAACATTTGGCCAATGTGGAAAAGGTGAAACAAAAAAATGGCAGAAGCACTAAAAGGTATCAAAACTTTCAAGCAACTTGAATGGATTTAGAGTCTATAATACTCAGTGATCTATCACAGAAACAAAGAACTGAGTACCACATATTCTCACTCATAAGCAGACCCTGAACAATTATAATACTATAAGAAAGAAGCCAGGTGCAGTAACGGAAGAATCACCTCAACCAAGCAGTTTGAGGCTGCAGTGACCATGAGGGTGCAACTGTACTCCAAACTGGGCAACACAGTGAGACTCCAACTCAATAATAATAATAATAAAAGGAATTGGGAGTAATGGGAAACTGCTAGGGGAGGGAAGGGTGGCACACTTTATCAATAAGGGGATCTCAAATCAGGTGAAGTGGGAACCAAAGTGAGAACCAAACTTTACCTGTACAATGACCATGCATATACCTGACACTGAATTGTATTCTACATCTTTAAAATTTAAAGAATAAGTAATTTTTTTAAAAACTAACAAGTTCAGCCGGGTTCAGTGGCTCAGCCTTTAATCCCGTGCTTTGGGAGGCTGAGGTGAGTGGATTACCTGAGTCTGCAGGTTCAAGACTCGCCTGGGCAACTTGGCGAGACCTCATCTCTACAATAAATCAAAAAATTAGCCAGGCATGGTAGCACTCGCCTGTAGTTCCAGCTGAAGGCTGAAGTGGAAGGATCGCCAGAGCCCAGCAGGTCGAGGGCGTGGTGACCAGGAGTGGCCACTGCACTCCAGTCTGGGCGATGGAGTGAGACTCCAACTCAAAAAAAAAAAAAAAAACTAACAAGTTCAAAAACTGTTGTTCTGGACAGTGGAAAACAACATCAATAGGTGTATTGCATCCAACGGAGAGTGCTCTGAAAGTGATTGAAGCTTAAACATGGAAGAATAAGCACACAATTTTTTTATAAGAAAATTCCAGTGTTTGTGGGTGGCCTCTCACATCTCAGGGAGAGGTTCCGTATGAGCTGCTTAGCAAGGCGGTTGTTACATTTCTCTTCTAGGGCCCCACCCCAAAGCAGAGCTTCTATGCAGGAAGAGGAGAGAGACTTACGAAAGCCTCTGCAGGGAGCACTTGGGATGTTTCAAGGCCGCACACAGCAACTTGCCACCCTCATCCAGGAGTTCAATGTCTGAGAGATCCAGGAACGTCAGGGTCTGGTTGATCGTTAGGCTCACGAAGAAATCACCCCACTGCTGGGTCGTGGCAGAATGAGAGTCCAACCTGTGGGAGAAATGAAAGTAAGTCATTCTTCTGGGAGGAGAGAGAGCCATATTGGCTTACTATGTTTGGCTTCCTTAAAAATTATGTCTTTGCTGGGCATGGTGGCTCACGCCTATAATCCCAGCACTTTGGGAGTCCAAGGCGAGAGGATTGCCTGAGCCCACAAGTTCAAGACCAGCCTGGGCCACTTGGCGAAACCTCATCTCTATAATACATAAAAAAACTAGCTGGGCATGGTGGCACATGCCTGTAGTTCCAGTTACTCGGAAGGCTGAGGCAGAAGGATCGCCTGAGCCCAACAGGTCGAGGCTGTGGTGGCCGGGAGGGTGCCACTACACTCCAGCCCGGACAGCAGAGTGAGACTCCCACTCAAAAAACATATATATATAGATTTTGAAGCTAAGTATTTTGTCCGATTAAATGAAAAATAGCATCACCAGAAATCAGGAATTATAAGAGCTATCATTGGTGCCCAGTCCCTATACTCACATCTCATCCTTCATTCTTTTTCTTTTCTTTTTTAACTAATCTTTTTTAGGTTGAGGTTCTCACCATGTTGCCCAGGTTAGTCTCGTACTCCTGGGCTCAAGCAATCATCCCACCTCGGCCTCCCAAAGTGCTAGGATGACAGGCATGAGCCACCACACCAGGCCAGCACCACAGTGAAGCTCACCCTGGACACTCGGGTAGCCACGACTAAGAAACCTACCTCAGGTACTGCAGGTTGCACCTCCGGTTTCTGAGCATTTCGTACAACAGCACCAGCATCATCTGATCCCACTGTACATTGCCTTCCAGGGTCAGGTGAGTCAGGGTCTTCTTACCAATGAAAGCCAGACATATATCCCGAGTAGCATACTCAGGGGCAACGTTTCTTATCCTAGGAAAGAAACAGAAGGAAGGTGTGCTACATCTTGAGTGTCTCACCCATGCACGGTCTAGAAGTACAAGAAACCCAAAGCTGCGATAGGTTTTAGAAACGGTTATTTCTCACTTCTAGCCAGGTGTGGTGGCTCACATCTATAATCCCATGATTCTGGGAGGCAAAAGCAAGAGGATTGCCTGAGCCCAAGAGTTCGAGACCAGCCTGGGCAATATGGCAAGACCTCATCTCTACAATAAATCAAAAAATAGGTTAGCCAGGCATGATGGCACACATCTGTAGTTCCAGCTACTCGGAAGGCAGAAGCAGAAGGATCGCCTGGGCCCAGCAGGTGGAGCCTGTAGTGGTCTCTCTGCACTCCAGCCTGGGCGACAGAGTGAACCTCCAGCTCAAAAAAAAAAAAAAAGTTCTCACTTCTTTAGTCATCTCAACCTTGCACCACAGGGAAGTAACAGACCATGTTTAATTTCAAATGTGTGCTATTCCTTCAATGGTCTGTAGAAGGCCTGTAATCTCAGCACTTTGGGAGGTCAACATGGAAGGATTGCTGGAGCCCAGGAGTTCCAAGACCAGCCTTGGCAACATAGCATCATCTCTACAAAAATAAAAAAAAATTAGCTGGGCAGGGTGGCACATGCCTGTAGTTCCAGCTACTTGGAAGGCTGAGGCAGAAGGATCGCCGGAGCCCAGCAGGTCAAGGCTGCGGTGGCCGGCAGCATGCCACTGCATATAACTGTCAGGGTAACATAGGGAGATGCCAACTCAAAAATAAAAATTAAAAAAGAAGGCTGAGGCAGAAGGGTTGCCTGAGCCCGGCAGGTCGAGGCTGCAGTGACCATGAGCATGCCACTACACTCCAGCCTGGGCAACACAGTGAGACTCTGACTCAAAAAAATAAAAGTAATAAAAAGTGAAATAAGCCAGACACCAAAAGACAAATGCTGCATGATCCCACATGTGAAATCTAAAATAAAATGCACAGAAGCAGTGTAGAACGGTGGTTACACCAGGGGTTATTGGGGGATGGAGGGGCTAAGGATATATTGGTCAAAGAAAACAAATGTTTTGTTATAAGGTGAATAAGTTCTGGAGATCTATTGTCCAGCACAGGGTACAATGTGGTTTGCTGATACATCATGGATGACTATATCAAGCCAATTAACATTGTCACCTCACATCTTCACATCTTTTTGTAGTTGTAACTTTTTTTGAGTGAGGGTCTCACTAGTCCCGCAGGCTGGAGGGCAGTGGCATGATCAGAGCTCACCGCAGCCTCAAACTCCTGGGCTCAGGTGATACTCCCATCTCAGCTACCCAAATAGCCAGGACTACGGGTGTATGCCACCATGCCTAACTTGTTTTTTTATTTTTTGTAGAGACAAGGTCTTGCTATGTTGCCCAGACTGGTCTCGCATTCCTGGGCCCAAGCGATATTCCCGCCTCAGCCTCCCAGAGTGCTGGGATTACAGGCATGACCCACTGCATCCAGTCTGTAGTTACAACATTTAAAGTCTATCATGGGCCGGGCTCGGTGGCTCAGCCTGTAATCCCAGCGCTTTGTGAGGCTGAGGTGAGTGGACTGCCTGAGCCCGCGGGTTCGCGACCCGCCTGGGCAACTTGGCGAGACCTCATCTCTACAATAAATCAAAAATTAGCCGGGTGTGGTAGCGCATGCCTGTAGTTCCAGCTACTTGGAAGGCTGAGGTGGAAGGATCACCAGAGCCCAGCAGGTCAAGGCTGCGGTGGCCAGGAGCAGCCACTGCACTCCAGTCTGGGTGACAGAGTGAGACTTCAACTCAAAAAAAAAAAAAAAAAAAGTCTATCATGGCCAGGCTCAGTGGCAGCCTGTCACCCCACCACTCTGGAAGGCCAAGGCAAGCAGACTGCCTGAGCCCATGGGTTCAAGACCAGCCTGGACAACTTGGCAAGACCTCGTCTCTACAATAAACATAAAAAATTAGCCGGGTATGGTAGTGTGCATGCAGTTCTGGCTACTTGGAAGGCTGAAGCAGAAGGATCGCCAGAGCCCAGCAGGTCGACTCTGGGGTGGCTGTGAGCATGAAACTGCACCCCAGCCTGGGTCAGAGACAGCGGGGAGAGAGGTAGATAGGGAAGAGTGGGAATGTTGGTCAGTTATACAACAGGAGTAAGTTCTAGTGATCTCTTGCACAATAAGGTGACGACAGCTCATAAGGTGTCATGGTCAGGTGCAGTAGCTTACTGTAATCCCAGCAGTTTGGGAGGTCCAGACAGGAAGAGCACTTGAGACCAGGAGTTCAAGACCAGCCTGGGCAACATAGCAAGATTCCATCTCTATATTGGAAATTTTTTTTTTTTAATTTTAAAGAATAAAGTGTATATTTCAAAAGTGCCTAAATTTTACATGTTGGCCACAAAGAAGTGGTAAGTATGAGGCAACAGATAAATTAGTTTGATGTAATCATTCCATGGGTATATATAGACCAAAACATCTTATACATCATAATTATTCATCAATTTAAAACAAAAAGATTTAAAGTAAAACAGACTGGACATGGTGGCTCACGCCTGTAATCCTAGCACTTTGGGAGGTGAAGACGAGAGTTTTGCCTGAGCCCAAGGGTTCATTCAAGACCAGCCTGGGCAACTTGGTGAGACTTTGTCTCTACAATAAATCAAAAACAAAAAGTTAGCCGGGCACAGTGGCTCACGTCTGTAATCCCAGCACTTTGGGAGGTGCAGGCAAGAGTTTTGCCTTACTCCAGGGTTTCGAGACCAGCCTGGGCAACTTAGCGAGACCTCCTCTCTACAATAAATCAAAAAATTAGCTGGGGGTGGTGGTGTGTGCCTGTGAAGGGAATTGCCAGAGCCCAGCAGGATTAGGCTGCGGTGGCCGTGAGCATGCCACTGCACTTCAGCCTGGGTAACTCCAACTCAAAAAAAAAAAAAATTGCCTGCTCAGGAGATCCACATCATGATTTGCATCTGCCTCGACCTACGCTCTCCAGACTCAAACTCAAAGCCATTCCCGACACTAGTTATGAGTTTGCCACCGCATCACCAACACACTCTATTCACCTATTTGAAAATGTGCCCTCTGGAATGTTTCTCTAATTCCCACCCACGTTATCCCCCTGACATATGCCTGCCCTTCCTACAAGCTGTTTCAAAAGTACCCCACATCAGATGTTTACAAGCATCCAAAATCTCCATGAAATTTCCTGAAAATGACTTCTTCTCACTATACACTAGTTTCAGGAAAGGAACCATTTTACTTTATGTCTTTGTATTCTGAGCAACTCTGGTGAAAGCCTAGTCAGGCATTCATATATTACTCCCAGCTGGGCACAGTGGCTCACATCTAGAATCCCAGAACTTTGGGATGCCAAGATGGGAGGATTGCTCCACCCCAGGAGTCTGAGACCAGCCTAGACAGCATGGTGAGATTCCATCTCTACAAAAAATAAATGAACTAAAATTTAAAAATTAGTTGGGCATTGTCACACATGCCTGTATTCCCAGCTACTCTGGGGACTGAGGCGAAAGGATCCCCCGATCCCAGGAGATAGAGGCTACACTGAACCATGAATATGCCACTACACTCCAGCCTGGGAGACCCAGGGAGACCCCGACTCAAAAAATATATATACTACTCCCACATTTTAAAAATGTCAGCAGCTCAGCCACACTCAGGGATCCGCCTTGCAAGATTATTTACTACTTACACGGCTTTCTGCAGAAGACAGCTGTTCCGCATTATATGCTCAGAAAGAAGTCTCACTGAGGAGTTACTCAGGAAGCTGTCACTCATGTCCAAAAACCTCAGACTGGGGCTCGAGCTGACCACGGAGCAGAAATCCAGCCAGACGCAAAGGGTGTGCACCTCCCAGTGATCCGAGCTAGGGAAGGGACAGACAAGAGGACATACTGAAGAATACACATTGTGTACGTGACAGGCCTCCCCAGTTGCCAGGCAGTGGCAGACAGGTACCATCTGCGGCTTGTTAGAAACTAGGTTGCCCTACAGGAGATGAGCTGTCAGATTAGGGGTGGCATGAGATTCTCATGGCAGCCAAATCACTATGGTGAACCGCATATATGGGATCCAGGGCATGGCTCCTAACAGGAATCTAATGCTGGATGGAAGATCCATCTGCACCCCCACACCATCCCCACCCAGGGAAAAATTGTCTTCCAGGAAGCCAGTCCCTGGTGCCAAAAATGTTGAGGACCAGTGATGTACAACATGGCTCCAGGACTCACTTATCTTGTATGATGCAAAGTCTATACCCTATGAACAATACCTGTATGGTTTTTTTATATTTGTCATGATACTTGCAACAAAAAGTATTCCAAGTGATTACCACCACATTTTCAGTGGCTTCACAAATCCTTTCAATGTACGTTGGGCTTTAGGGAAAGGTTTTTTCCCTTGAACACATATTGGTTTAAAAGGATATCAAAAAGTCTGGCACAGTGGCTCAAGCCTACAATCGCAGCACTCTGGGAGGCAGAGGCGAGGATTACCTGAGCTCAGGGGTCCAAGACCAGCCTGAACAATATGGCGAGACTTTCTCTATAATAAATCAAAAAAATCATCCCAGCATGGTGGTACATGCCTGTGGTTCCAGATACTCAGAAGGATCACCTGATGCCAGCAGGTTGAGGCTGTGATGGTTGTGAGCGTGCCACTGCACTCTAGCCTGGGTATCAGAGTGAGACTTTGATTCAAAAAAGTAAAAAATAAAAATAAAAGGACCGGCTCCTTGGAAGGCTGAGGCGGAAGGATCGCCGGAGCCCAGCAGGTTGAGGCTGCAGTGGCCGGGAGCGGCCACTGCACTCCAGTCTGGGCGACAGAGTGAGACTCCAACTCAAAAAAATAAATAAATAAAAAATAGAATGAAATAAAAGGATATCAGACCGGGCGTTGTGGTTACACCTGTCATCCCAATACTTTGCTGAGGCAGAAGGAAAGCTGGAGCCCAGGTGTTCGAGACCACATTGGACAACACAGTTAAAACAAAAAAAAAGTCAAAATATTAGCTGGGCTGGTGATGCCCACTTTTAGTTCCAACTACTCGGGAAGCTGACATCAAAGGATCACCTGAGCCCAGGAGGCTACAGTGGGTGGTGACCATACCACTACAATCTAGCCCGGGCAGCAAATACAGACACCAAATCAAAAAAGAAAAAATGGAAAAAAGAATTCTAACCTCTCAGGCTCGGTGCGCGGGTTCAGTATGGGTCGGGTCTCCAGGAAGATCCCCTCGGAGACCCGCAGGGAGATTCGCCGCAAGTTCTGGCAGTGCTTGAGGCAGAAGGCCCAGTGCGCCATCACGGACACGTCGGGCAGGCGCACCGACACGTCCTGCAGGTCGGCGGTGGCCTCCCTCGCCAGCGCCTCCTCCTGGGACTCGAACACACAGCACAGCAGCTCCCGCGTGTCCTCCGACAGCGGCTTCTCGGGGTCCAGGCCCGCCTGGCACCTCAGCGCCTCCCGCGCGGCCTCCGGGGACACCCGAAGGCCGAGCGCGGCCTCCAGCTCCGCGGCCCTGCGCGCGTTGCAGAGGCCGAACACGAAGCGGCCCGCCTGGACCAGGCCGGGATTCCGCAGCTGCTCGGCCTTGGAGAACAGCCTGCGCAGCCCCCCGAGCGCCTCCGCGTCCGCGTCCCCCTCCTCCCGCTCCAGGACGAAGAACACGGCGGCCAGGAACTGCTGGACGCTCGGGTGGACGAAGGCGTGCTCGCCCTCGCGGGCGGCGTCCGCCCGGAGGAGGCCGGCCTCCAGGAAC